ACTCGACTCATTGTGCCGCTTCATGAGCGTATCCGGGGTCCTCTTCGATGACCTGATGAGCGCGGCCTCAGGCTCATAGAAGTAAACACATCCCCCTTTGTTTCAAATAGCGTACACTTCTATTTTATGCGTAGTTGACTATTTAGGCAATAACGTACCTTTAATTACAGCGGCGAGCCGCACATTCCTTTCTTTGCTTTTTTGTTCATTTGGCGTTAATCGAGACTTTGTCAACAAAAAGGTCATAAAACACCCTCATCACAAAGTCGTTGGTAGTTCGTCCACCTTGACAAGCCGAAAAAGATACCTGGTCAACCAGAGTGAAAACAAAGCTCACCGCTGTCAGTGCTTTTCCATTGCCCTCCCGCCAATGCGTCTGCGTTTTCGGTTAAGCCCTGAGTTCTTTCGGATTGCATCTGCATGACTCCAGTCTTGCCACTCTCTGATGATTATTCAATGAGCCATCGCTTGCCAGTGTCCTCCTGAATGCTTAGATTCGTTAATGGATCTCTACGACGCACTGAAATGTTGTTACTCTGTAGGTAGCTCATTGTTTAGCAATAGTTCCTTCGAAGTTGTTTTTTCTACTACCGCAAGAACTCCTCAAAATAACATGCCCACAAACTCCCCTTTCGGTCATAATGTAGATCATATTCTACCTTAAATCTTCCCTTTGCTGACTGGCACGTTCTCGGGTTATGTTTTCGCATGGATTAAGTAGTTTAATCTGGGTAACCCGCTGTTTGCTGGAGGTCATCAAGGCACACATTTTTTTGCCTTGTCAGCAGTTCTTCACTGTACGTTTCGAACATCTCAGTCTAGCCTTACCTTACCTCTTGATTGATTATAATTCCTCCAGTCAAAAGTAAGGTCCCGCTATAGGATAGTTCATTGAACATGCATTGAAGTATTTTGCAGTTAGAGACGTCCACCAGTGCGGACACTGACCAAAACGTTCTTCTAAACGTCAACTGGTCCTACTTCCTTGATCCTAGTCGGCCTTTTCAGTTGAAGGTAAATGGCTACTTCGTCAATCGATCACCTGTCTTGCTTACGTGATATTTGCACACACACACAAAAACGTAATATGTTTCCTTTGCTTTTTTTGTAGTCTATTGTCATTCCGACGCGAAGAGCCACTGCCAGTGCCCTTCAGATGGTTCTCTCACACAGCCTCGGTGATGCAATCAGTCCCTTAATAATTGGCGCTGTAAGTTACTGCGGCTTTGATGCACATGTCTGGTTCATACTGTTTGCAGAATTTTTCAGCTGTTCTCTACTTCCCCATCCAACACATGTGCCTTTCTTTCGCAACCTTAAGAGTTGATTTATGTAATTATCAAAGACTCCCAGTGACTAACACATCTCAACTGGGAGCCATATCGGTTTTCATGCCGGTTACCCCACTTATTTGCAGCCGCCCCCGTAATGGAGCGTGCTTTATGGACAACTGCGGAGGTTCCGATAAGTAGCAGCCTGTCTTTCGGCTGCATCACATGCCAGGGAGGTGTAGCCTGTGGTTCATAGTCCACGCTCACGCCTTGGAGGCCATTTAATGTAGCCAACGATCCTTAAAACCGCGAACTTTCATTTTTTTGCCGTTGTAAATTCGTTCAATGCTGGTTTTGTCTGAAAGCATAAACTAATTTGTAAGCATTTTACCCTGAAAAGATTACTTAAGTTAATCATTCAGCCTTTGTATTGATTTGTGGACTACAATGTATTTCAACCCATTCGAGTGTGAGGACACTGCTGTGTTTCTGTACTACGGGTTAGGTACTGTTAGAGTGCGACCCTTTCCGAACGCTATGCTCTGCATTTCAGGACTCAGAACTGGGTTTCTTCATTGTTTGGCTTAAACAGATTCGGCACGTCCATTTGGCTATCGGCGCGCCGGCTATTGCACACCTGATCTCAACTTTTCGCTGGCTTATTCCAGGTCTGCCAATGGTTTATCCTGGAAGAGGCTGACCCCTGGGTAACGTTCATTCCTGCTGAGTGCTTCGAATCTATTATGGATCTTTACGACGCAAGAAACTGTTGCTGCACTGGGAGGCTGTACTAGGTACTGCTTCAATCAGGCTTGATCTAGCCAGCCTCGTTTAGGTTGTGACTTTTTCCTCAAGCGGGACGATCTGCGGCAGCGTATCTGGAGAGCTTATTGAGGTGGTGTTAAGGCTAAGAAGGTTTAAACCTAACGGCTGCGATCTTCCAGGCGCGGTCCCTTGGGAGAAGAGAGAAATTATGGGAGGGCCAAAGTAATAGGAAGAGTGTATTCTGTACAGACGGAAAGGAGAATATTCAGGATGAAGTCTTGACTGCTGGAGCGCAGATCTAGCCGAGAGGCGGGCTAGCTCAGGAGTGTGGTCTAGCGGCTGCCGAAATCTGTCTCTGTCTCGGTCAGCCTTGATGGTAATTAGTCAGACCGCGACATCGCGTGTTAGTAGGTTGCGCCAGACATTGAGCGAGAGATAGCCAGGGTGAGGGTAGTCAGCGTGACTGCAGCCTTGGCGGGAATGAGTCCGCGATCACGCGTTCCCACAGTGGCGCTAACGCTCACTACAAGCTCGACCTACCTCACGCTCTCGCCCCATTCTAGTTACTGAGCCCCGACAATCGACAGTCCAAAAACTAGTTGCATGTCCTGACGGACTGCACCGTACACTAAGGACTATAAACTGACGTGATGACTCTGTCCTCAGGGCTGAGAGTCGAGCTGTTGCGGTTTATTCCCAGAGTGGTCTTTATGACGACTTCAGTCAGCGATACTTTCTAAGTCCCGTTTTGTTTGGTTAGGAGCCAACGTGTATGTGGTACGCGTAGATCTCTTCAGCCACTGCGCTCCCACTCAGCTCCAGTCTTCTTACTACTGGAACTTGATACACTTGAACGAGGGAGAAAGAGAGGAACAGAGAGGTTGATGCTGCGTTAGCCCCTTCCGTCTGTCCGTCCTTCGCGAGCGACAAAGACCCAAGGCAGCGGTGAAATGAGGTCCTGCACATGGGTTGGGATTATGGTAACGAAGACTTGCATGGTATCTTATATGTTGTCTTCTTCTGCACACAATTGCATCCTATAACAAGATAAGACCAGGTAGACTGAAAATGGGTGAAGGCTGAATGCCACCCATGCACTGGTCTTTCCGCGCTCCCTAACCCGATTTCAAGTAAATAGTTGCTTAGACTGTACACAAACACAGTCCTTATAAAAACAGTGTGTTAAGGAAAAGTCACAAAATCCTGATGCTTGGTCGGAAGAATGATTGTCCACCTTCTCTGAGTCATGGCTGTTAGCGCGTCGTAAGAGTTTAACGGCACATCAGCTTTAACATAGTGAAGAAAACAACTGCTAAATAAGCCTGACACAGCAAGGTTACTACCTTAAAGTCCAGACACGTGTTTCGACAACATTCTCTCGCTGTATGACGCAGCTACGAGGAATTGGACTCACTTGTAGGTCTTCCAGCAGCATTCTCTATGTGCTTTCCGGTAGCTAGTCCACTTGTTAAATTGCTGCCTTTTTTATTTCCTCTGGAATTAATCGCCGACTTGAGGTAGAGTAGTCTAAAGTAAATTGTTATAGGCGCAGACCCAGATTTGGCATGAATATTTGGGCCAAAATCCATCAGCCACGACGCGCTAACCGCGTACTATTTCCCTTAAACTGCCGACGGGCAGTACGTTCACTGTACGCCTCGTTCAAATGTCCACGCACAGTATGTTTCGCCCGTCGTTGCAGATGTTGACCAGCTGCATTGTACCGTTGCTGTAAAAAGTGACGCGTGATACTCTAATGGTTGTATTCATGCCTGTATATATGGCCGAGAGGCTACTTGGAATATCAGAAGATTAACGAATATAGACTTTGACATTGTTTCGGCACAGCTGTGAAGGTATCCGACCGGGGGCAGGGGGGGAGGCGAATCACGACAAAGGCTGGTGATTACGGTGAGCGCGTCTTGGAGACAGTTGCGACGATGATAGTTTTTCGGCGTGTGTGGCGACTGTTATTTCTGGTCTTTTTTTGCGGCAGATTGCAGTACCTATCACACCTGCGCTAGCGTTTACCTGGGCTATTTGTCAATCTAAGGGAGCGCCGGCAATACTTACTCGTTGTGTGCGGTATCTGTGAACCGAACTATCGCCGCAATTTTTGCATGTTTTTTTTCTGTTCATCGTCGCCAGTTTGTTTGCTAGTTGCGAGTTTCCTTAGTCTCATAATATGCCTAATTTAATTCGTAATAAGTCAGTAATAAAAAATTCCGCCCTTCCGTATACCTTTACGGGACCTCAAATATGAAGTAAAACAGTAGCTGATTGTAAATGAGAGTGGAATTCAAGGTTATGGTGAATATAATGACATAAATGCACCACCAATCAATTCGGCATAGCAGCAACTAATCCGAACACCGAAAAACTGCGGCAACGTGAAGCCTGACCTGATATTCTGACCTGTGTTAGGTACATGATTTTACTGACTTGGCATACTCATAAACACAACAGTTTTGAACTGTTTGCGGAATCCTGTTCGATGTGGCTTTTAGGCAGACAGAGGGTCATAAACAGTTATTGTTGTTTAAGAATTTATCGAGGAATTAAGGTTAATCCTTGTCACTACGATCTTCCACGCCCCGTTCCTTAGGAGAAGAAGAAGAGGTGGGAGTCCAGAGTGGAAGGAGCAGTTTATTTTGTACAGAAGGGATAAAAAATAGGTAGTAGAAAATTGACCGTCGGACGAGCGAGCAGTCGCGGGCCATAGGGGCGCGTCTGAAGCGACGAGAGCGTAGGGGATTGCTGGAAACCCAGAGCATGCTTTGTTCCTGCAGGCAATCAGGAAATGGCTCATACTGATTGCTGCGAGTTCTCACGAGGGTAGGTCAAGTCTAGCGAGACTGCGGCCGGACCGAGAGGCGAGAGCGTGGACGTGCATATTTTGTAGTTTAAACTGGCTTCCGGCATTCGTTAAAAACAGGCAACTTCAGTTTACATTTCTGAGAGGCCTTTATTTTCCTGAAGTTTTGGGCTTCTGTTAGCGCTTTGCGGGGTCCCCAGATTGCAAATCTCTCGAAACTAAAGTTCTTCTAAACTAATTATCCTTAGCTTCGCGCATTGTTTCGGCAACATTGGATACCTTGTTCTTCCCCGAACGGAAGCCATCCGCAACATGCGCTTTTTCGACTTTTTCTTTCAGAATCCTTAAAAGGTAAGCAGTTGCAGTTGTTCATAGTTTATGTGGCTATTTTGTTCCGGTCACCTTGAGAATCGTTTGTCGGGACCGTTAATGCTTTTCTGGCAGCTCAACTGAGTACGCCACCGGCTTTACGTTTGTAAGTCTTCCTAAGATGGATGTTTTGTCGATACTCAGCTTCTCGCAGTGGCGGTTCTTCATTATTACTCATCCACCGCTTCTGACTCTGTCGCCGAGGCAAGTCTTCCGAGTACAAGTTAATCCCGCTTTGCTTGTTGCCTCTTCAGTACGATTAACATAGCCATCCCTTCTCTTTGCTGCCGATTCCACCATTGATTCATATGTGTTGTCGCTGCCTTTCAGATCGCTGATGCCCAGGCACATTCAGACACGCTGGAATGGCATTACTTAGGCATGCAAAGGGCCCTCTTTCTGACGGTGTTTGTCTGCATCGTTGCTGGTTTTCTGTTTCTTTGCTCCTCTTGGTATCTCGAGGCTGCTAAAGAACGCGTCCGCTTCATAATTGATGGTAAATCTTCCAGTTTCTTCCAACGCTTAACTGAGCCACTTAGCAGTCTGGGAGTTGTGCGACCTAAACTGCATGCAGCTCGCTCGGCCTCTGTCCTATTGCTTCATCCAAACCTCGACGGGCATTTGCGTAGCAATAGTGAATTTGAATCGTCCGCGCGCCCGCTAGATATCTTCTCGCATTTGGCACCCAATCATGCTTTTGTTCTGTCAAGTAGTCCCCCGGGGGTGAGAGCGATTGTCGTTGGCGTAGAACAAGTACTTTAAGAACATGCGGACCATAGTCCTCTGATTAAGGCATGACCAGCCAGACAGTGCTGGCATGGGACGGCTTGATGAGGAGGGGAGGGAGTAGTTTCACACAGTGGAAAGTGAACGTGTTCATCCATTCTTC